CTTTGGAAGTACAGCAGCAGTGGGAAACGAGTACTCGAGAGCAGTGCTAGGTAGGCAATCAGGGAAGGGTTCCAAGCAGTCGGTTCCTTACCCGAGTTTGAGTGGAGGTTCCGGCATATTGTTTTCTTTATCCTTGTCTTTGTAGGTAAGAACAAGGACAAATGAAAGGACAAGGAAAAAACATGATATCAGGTTACCCACGTGTTACCTGCGTGTATACCCGTTAAGAACCTGTTATTAACGGGTCACCCGATAATGACCCGATTAGTTATCGTGTTGACCCGAAACCCGTTATTTTCTTGTCGTGTCAAAATTTGCCGAGTCTATCAAAAATTGGTCAACATAGCATTACTCTTTTTAAAATTCAACTATCAATATTTTTTTAAACCCACATTTACTACCTAAATTACCCTGATAAAACTCAATTCAAGATGTAAATTTATTTTTACATCCATTTAGAATATGAAAAACCAAACTCAAAACAAACGCTCTCCTTTGACGTTCTAAGTTATTCGGTAGCTGTTGATCGAACAGTTTCATAGGCATTACAAAACAGAAACGCACAGCTGCAACCATGGAATGAAGCCTGCACATTGCATGGAAATCGCATGGCTGCAACCTTAATTTAGCATAAATTCGACCAATCAAAGATCCATTTTCCTTTAGAACTCACCCTCTTTCTCACATTAAAAGCTAGGGTATAAATCCTTTTTTTGTTTGCTAGGATAGGGATAAGATGCTGACTAGGATGATGTGTCAGCATTATCAAATTGGTTAGTTGGTTATAGTAAAAGATAAAGTTGTTAGTCAGTTTCTTAGTAGCTAAGTCGGCCTAGTTACTATATAAGAGATTGTAAGAAGGATGAAAAGGTTGTTGAATGAAAAGTATATTGTAGTATTACACTGTATCAATACATCGAGCAAGACGTGAAGTCTGGGTCTTATCATTGGTATCGAGCCAGTGCATCCGATCTTGCTTAATCCTTCCTCGTGTATGCTTCGCCTTGCTTCCAGGAAATCCATGGAGTCTCAGGTGTCAACTCTCAAAGCCCAATTTGCCAATTTCCAAAACGAATTCAAGGAGTCAAGAGTCGAATTCGCAGAATCAAGAAATGAATTTAGAGCAACTCACGATTTGATCTTGCAGCAATTGCATTCATTGTATGCGAAGGGTAATGGGTCAATCGGTGAATCTTCCGACGCTACACATTCAGATTTGATGCGGCGAATGGGGGTGGATCCGAACCTGGGTAACATTCTGGATCGCCAAGAAAATATGCCCAATACAGCGATTCAGCGTCTTCCATTTCTTAAGATGAAATTTCCAAGATTTGCTGATAGTGACGATCCTTTAAGCTGGATTTATAAAGTAGATCACTATTTTGAATTCTTCAACATCGAAGATTGCAAGAAAGTAAAAATGGCGTCCTTTCACTTCGAAAGAGAGCCCTTGCAATGGTTCCAATAGGCTAATTACATTACAAAGTACCCCAATTGGGAGGATTTCACCAAAGCTTTATGTCAAGAATTTGGACCTTCCGAGTTCGAAGATGCAGCGGAAAGTCTAGTGAAGCTGAGACAAACAAGTCTTTTAAGAGATTACATTCTGGAATTCAGAAGATTGGCTAACAGAACTCGAGACATGAGCCTATCTCTCATGGGAGGTTTAAAGTCAGAATTAAGGCACGATGTCAAGATCTTAAAGCCCAAGGATGTCTTAGAAGCTACTGCCTACGCCCACTAATTGGATTCCAAACTCTCCGATCTAAAGGTTAAAACTTTGTCTTGATCTTATGGTGCTACACCTGTGAGATCTCCTTTATACAATGTTAGTAATATACATGCTGGAGATGTTAAGAACAACTCTGATAATGTGCGTCGGTTAACTCTTGAGGAGGTAAAATTTTGTCAAAAAAATGGTCTTTGTTTTCACTGTAAAAAGAAATACAGTAGGGGCCCTTCATGTGAGAAAAAACAATTGTTGCTTACTGATATTCAAGATCATGAGGAAACTGAACAGATAGAAGAAAAGAATTTAGAGCCTGAGATAACTGCTTGTGCATTGTTTGGGACCCCTCTTCCTAAGTCAATTCAAACTATGAAAGTTTGTGGTATGATCAAGAATTGTTCAGTGGTTATACTCATTGATTTAGGGAGCTCTCATAATTTCATTGACCTATCATTGGTTAAGAGAATTAGAGGGTAGTTGGATACCACTCATTCTTTTAATGTCAAGATAGCTAATGGGGGTAAAGTCACTACCTTGGGCACCTTAGGGGCTGTGCCACTTAAGATTCAAGAATACCAATGCACCGCAAATTTATATGCTATGTCATTGGGGGGTTGTGATATAGTATTAGGAGTACAATGGTTGAGGACACTTGGCCCTGTGTTATGGGATTTTGACAAGTTTTACATGAAGTTCCACAAAGGCAACTAAACTTACTGTATTTCCAGTCCAGAAACTTATGTGGATCAAATTCAGGATGTAACTGCATTTCAGATGGAGAGATTGTTATTGCAGGAACCATTAATTGGGGCATTTCTGTTTCAATTGCAACCTGAAGTAGTTGAACAATAAGAAGACACTTTCTCTTTGGTACAACAACAACAATTAAGGCAGCTTTTACAACAATATGAATGATCTTCCTCACTCCCAGTGCATTACCTCCGCCCAGGTCACATGACCACAGAATTCCCCTAATCGAAGGAAGTAGACCACCAAGTATAAGACCTTATGGGTATGAGCCTCTGCAAAAGACAGAAATTGAAAAATGTGTGCGAGAATTGTTAATTGCTGGTTTTATCAGAGTGAGTAATAGTCCTTGTTCTTCTCCAGTCATTTTAGTTAAGAAAAAATAAGGGACTTGGAGGATGTGCATGGATTATCGAAATTTAAACATCATCACTATTAAAGATAAATTTCCAATTCCATTGATTGATGAACTCTTGGATGAACTGTTTGGAGCTGAATTCTTTTCTAAGTTGGATCTCAGATCAGGTTACCATCAGATAACGATGCATTCATATGACATTGAAAAAACGACCTTTTAAACTCATGATGGCCATTACGGGTTTTTAGTCATGCCCTTTGGATTGACTAATGCACCTGCAACCTTCCAGTGCTTAATGAATGAGATATTTAGGCCACACCTTCAAAAGCTCATTTTGGTGTTTTTTGATGATATTCTAGTATATAGCAAGACCTGGGAGCTGTACATGGAACATCTTAGCACGGTTTTTGAGATTCTACAGTCTCATACTCTCTTTGTCAAGCAGTCTAAATGTGCATTTGGGCAAACTTGAGTGGAATACTTAGGACATATAGTATTAAAGGAAGGAGTTGCAGCTAACCCCTCCAAACTAGATGCTATAGCTAAATGGCCTCTTCCCATTACTGTAAAAGCCTTAAGATGATTTCTTGGTTTGACAGGATATTACAGGAAATTTATTCCTGATTTTGGAAAGATTATTAGTCCATTGACAGTCCTTACCAAAAATGATAATTTCAAATAGAGTGAAGCAGCCACAGTGGCGTTCAACACACTCAAACAGACTATGCTTTCACCTCAGCTATTAGCTTTACCAAATTTCACCCAACCTTTTATAATTGAAAGTGATGCATCTGGTTATGGCATTGGAGCTGTTTTGCAACAAAATGGCAAACCTATTGCATTTAGCAGTAAAGCATTGAGTGTGAGGAATCAATCATTAACTGCTTATGAAAGGGAGATGATGGCTATATTACATGCAATCAAGAAATGACAATCTTACCTTGTGTGCAGACACTTCATCATTAAAACAGACCACCATAGTTTGAAGTTTTTTTTCCTGCAAAATAAGGCTAACCCTCATTTTCAATAGAAGTGGGTGTCTAAACTATTGGGTTTTGATTATGAAATCCAATATAAACAGGGATGTGATAATCAAGTAGCTGATGCCTTGTCCAGAATTTCTCTAGATGCATCTATTGTTCAATCAAGTCCTGCAATAGGTCAGTTAGAACTCTTGGCTATTTCCTACCCTTATCTTAGCTGGATTAATAACTTGAGAAGGCATATTGAACAAGACTCTTGGATCTTGGAAAAATTTCAAGAAGTGAAGAATGTCTCATATTCATCTCCATTGACCTTGTTAAAATACAAAGTCGACAATGGTTTTCTCAAATACAAGGATAAAATTGTATTAAGTCCCAACAGTTCTTGGAGACAACTTATGTTTGAGGAACATCATAGCAGCCCTTCTGCAGGTCACCCTAGATTTTTGAAGACATATAGAAGGCTTTCAAGGTCCTTCTATTGGAAAGGGATGAAAAAGGATATAAAGGAAATGGTCGCAAATTGTCAAGTGTGTCAGAAGCAAAAGTATAAACTTTAGCCCCTGCGGGTTTAATTCAGCCACTACCAATTCTTCACAAATCTGGACTGACATATCAATGGACTTCATAGTGGGATTGCCTCCTTGTCGAGGTAAAACAGTTATATGGGTGATAGTTGATAGGCTATCCAAATATGCCCATTTTCTAGCATTAACCCATCAATTCATGGCAGCCTCAGTAGCTAATCTCTTTATGGAACATATGTTCAAGTTACATGGAATGCATGCTTCTATAATCTATGATAGGGATCCATTATTCATGAGTGCATTTTGGAAAACATTTTTTACACTACAAGGATCATCATTGTCTCACAACTCAAGGTACCACCCTTAAACGGATGGATAGACATAGGTTGTTAATTGATGTCTAGAGACTTACCTAAGATGTTTTTGTAGTCTCTAACCTAAGAAGTGGTCTCTCTGGTTACCGTGGGCTGAATGGAATTATTATACAACCCTTCATTCTGCAACAAAAATGTCTCCATATGAAGTAATGTACGGACAACCTCCTTCATACATTCCGGTGTATGAAGCTGGAACAATTAAGCTGGAAATGGTTGACAGGAGTTTTTTTTTTTTTTTTTTTTTTTTGGTGAAGAACGGGGAACACAACCCAAAAAGAACTACAAACCAACAGCAAACCGAGTCCGAGGGACTCCAGCAGCATCATCAATGAGAGCTGATCTAATCCACACAGGAGGCTCATCAAAAACAAGAACACCAATATCCATGTTATAACTCCAATTAGCCAACTGATCCGCCACAATATTCTTCTCTCTATAAACGTGATTCAATTCACACCTCCTCAATTGTCTCATCATTAATCTGCAGCTATGCATAATTGTCTCCAAAGGATGGAAATTATCAACTTGGGATTGCTTCAACAACATAATAACAGCCTTGGAATCCATCTCAATATGAAGCTCAGTAGCACCCTTATCAATAGCAAGCTGTAAACCAAAGTATAAACTCCATAATTCAGCATCACAAACCTGCCCTTGTCCCAAATTCACAGCAAAGCCACCTAACCAGTTGCCATTATGATCTCTTAGAACGCCACCAGCCCCAATTCGACCAGAATTTGTCCTTCTAGACCCATCCACATTTAGCTTACACCAACCTACATCAGGATGATCCCAAGAGAGAGAAATTTGCCTCTTTACAGGTTTGACAGAATACTTCACACAAGCCTTCAACCATTCATCCACATCTCTCTCAATGATCGCTTTTGGATACATAGGCATGACAAAATTGACATCAAAAATCTGCTTGTTTCTCCACTTCCAAATATGCCAACAAATAAAAAGGAAAAGAGTACACCAAGCACCCTCATTGGTCCCTTTTGAACTTACTTTCAGATTTGCCAGCAACCAAGCCTTAAACTCAAGATTCTGGGCATTCCTCAGTTGCCATGGAACTCCCATACTTTTCCAGATACACATAGCCCTGGAACAATCTTTAAAAATATGAGCAATGGATTCAATTGGTCCACAACAAGTCATACAAGAAGAATCAGAAGTTAATTGTCTTCTAACTCGTTGCTCATTAGAAAGCAATCTCCCTTTACTCATCAACCAAAGAAAAACTTTTAGCTTCGGTGGAACATTAACTCTCCAAATAAAATCCCAGCATGAATCAGGCAAATCCTCTTCATCAAAGAAAAGATTATAAGCTGACTTAACGGTGAAAACTCCATTAGAAGCACATCTCCAAATAATTTTATCCATACCTGCACCAGTAGTACCAGCAGGCCGACATATAATTTTTTGAACCATATCCTCTGGCAACACATCTCTGAGCTTATCAATATCCCACCAACCATTTCTTAAAAATTCAGAGACAACACAATCAATATTGGAGATGTTAGCAACATCAATAGTTTCCATTAAAGGGACATTTAAGACCCATGAATCCTTCCAAAATTTCACACTCTCACCATTGCCAATTCTCCAAGTCATGCCCTTTTTAAGAAGATTAACTCCATACAAAATTCCTTTCCAAGAATAAGAACACTCAGTTCTTTCATGAATTTTGGGGTCTAAAATAGAATAGCCTTTCAAATACTTAGCCTGATAAATTTGAGACCAAAGACCAGAGTCCTTAGCATGAATCCTCCACCCTAACTTAGCTAAAAGAGCCTGATTCATTACACAAGCTCTCTTAATCCCCAAACCACCCTTACTTTTAGGTTTGCAAACCATACTCCATTGGCACAAATGGACTTTTTTCTTTTGATCGGTATCCCCCCACAAAAAATCCCTATTCACCTTGTCTAACTCTTCACACACACTGGCCGGAAGCTTGGTCGTTTGCATGGCATAAACTGGTATGGACGAGGTAACAGCTTGAATTAAGGTAATTCTTCCAGCCATGGACAATACCTTGCTCTTCCAAGTTGCCAACCTCTTCTGAACTTTATCAATAACGCCCGAATAAGTAGCCTTTGAAACTCTAGTCTGAATTAGAGGCATTCCTAAATAATTCCCAAGACTCTCAAAGACAGGAGACCCACAAATTGTACTAATACTCTTAAGACAAGCCCTGGACGTGTTTGGAAAACAATAAAGAACAGATTTTTCAAAGTTAACAGCTTGACCAGAAGCTTTGCAAAATTGTTCAAGGTACCTCTTCATTACTCTTGCTTGCTTAGGAGTAGCTTCAGAAAACAACATTAAATCATCAGCGAAAAAGAGATGAGATACCCTAGGTCCAGATTGAGAAGCCTTAACAGGTTTCCACCTTCCTTTGTTCACAGTTGCAGAAATTAAATGGGAGAGTTTCTCAATACATAGAACAAACAAATAAGGGGACAAAAGATCCCCTTGCCGAATACCGTTTTGAGGAATAAAACCATCTGTTAATTCACCATTGAAACAAATTTGGTACCTAACTGTGGATACACATTCCATCATAAGTTGAATCAAATTCGAAGGCAACCCAACCTCATTCAGCACATACTCAATAAACTTCCAATTAAGTCTGTCATACGCCTTAGAGAGATCAATTTTCCAGGCTAAAAATCCTTTTTGGCCTTTTGACATTCTGAACTTGTGAAGAATTTCTTGAGCAATGAGGACATTGTCAGAAATTTGTCTACTAGGAACAAAACTAGCCTGATTAGGACTAATTAGATGAGGCAAGAGAGGTCTGATTCTAGCAACAATGATTTTAGAGATCACTTTATAAAGAGTGCAACAGAGACTAATAGGCCTAAAATTCAACATCTTTTGAGGATTATCAATTTTAGGGACCAATGTAATCAGCGTACTGTTTAACCCAGCAGGCAATCTCCTTGAGTGAAAAGCATTCCATACCATATCAAAGATATCATTAGCACATATATTCCACTGACTTTGATAAAAGCAAGCAGGAAACCCATCAATACGTGGAGCTTTAAGGCCTCCAATATTAAAGAGGCTTTCCTTGACTTCAACCATATCAATATCTTTAGTAAGAGCTTCACGAACAGCAACATTAATATCAGGAAAAAGATTAGGAAGACATTCCATTTGCTTAGACTTTTGCCCATGCGAAAAAATAGTTTGAAAGTACTCAACTGCCAACTTTTTCATATCAGAAGACTCCGATATCCAAGCACCTTGATTGTTAATGAGGCCCTCAATTCTATTTCTTCTCCTCCTTACAATAGTAGTGAGATGAAAAATTTTTGTATTACGATCACCTTCTTGAAGCCACCTCAACCGAGACTTTTGATGCCAAAATATAGCCTTCTCATTTAGAACTTCATTATAATCAGAAATCAACTCATCCTCCAATTTAGAAAGAAATTTATTAGGCCCACGACACAAAGCTTTTTGAATCCCATCAATTCTTGCTAGAAGTTTGCGCTTTCTCTGTTTGAGATGACCAAAGACTTGAATATTCCACTTCTTAAGCGGTTCAACAAGAGCACAAGTTTTATCAACAACCGAACCTCCACCATTACTCCAATAACCATCAACAAACTCCTTAAAATTTTCATGCCTCAACCACATAGCTTCAAAACGAAAAGGACGATGATTGGGAGAAAATGACTTATGAGAATTTAAGCATATCTTAATAGGGCAGTGATCTGACTTGGTTCGCGGGAGATGGTGAACATAAGCTTCAGGGAAAAGGCTCCTCCAACTCATATTACAAATCCCACGATCAATTCTTTCTAACACTTTTTTATTAGTCCAAGTAAATTTAGGACCAATAAAACCCAAATCAATCATATAATTCCTATCCACCCAGGATTTGAAGCCTTTTAATCTGCATAATGGAGCACCACCAAGTTTATCATCCACACACAACATGTCATTGAAATCCCCAGCAATTAACCAAGGCAATTGATGACAATCAGCTACAAAATCTAAATAATCCCACAATCTTTCTCTTTTAGTAACACAAGGGCTAGCATAGACAGCGGTGAAAATCCAATGGTTCTGACCAACACCATCCACAACAACAGAAATAGCTTGGTCAGTGGTACCGATAACTTCCACCTTTAATCTAGAATCCTTCCACAACATCCACAAACCACCAGAGAAGCCAACAGCATCCACAATCTCAAAGCACGGAAAACCAAGAGATTTCACAACTGAAATAGCTTTCTGACCACTAATCCTGGGCTCACAAATAACCAAAATCTCCATTTGGTGAATGTTAATTAATTCTGCAACATTATCTTTAAACTTGGTGCAACCAGCACCTCTAGAGTTCCATACTACAATATTCATCATAAAGATGGATGAGAAAGATAAAACCAAGGCATACAGCCTAGCAACCCATAAGGGTTTCCTCCACATGGGAGGCACACCTCTCAGCAGACTTAGCTAAACAATAATCCTCGGTTGAACGAGATCGTTGAATAATTGAACCTGGAATAGTATGATCAGTATTCATCATCTCTTCACCTGGATCCAGATCACACGCAGCTAACTCAACATCGCTACCACTAGCATTAGATGGTTGGTGACCAAAAATATAGGTTCCCTTCGACATATTTGAACCATAGTACATATCAGTCTTGAAGGCATTAACATTAAATTTGAACGGCTGATCCTCAACATTACTAATCGAACTAGAACTTGACCTTCTCACTAAAGGTTGTCTTAGTTGCCCCAAATTATGCGTAGATGGCTTTCCACCACAGTTAGATATATCAGCAAGTGCATCCCGATCACTAGCTTCCTTCTTCTTCCTAACCCCCCAAATTTTCCTTTCAATAGAACCTTCACCCTTCTCACCATTTGTGCCACTTCCCACATTTCCCTCATTCAGACTTTTATCTTCCCCATTGAGCACACTGAACCTTGACCCCTGCCCATTAAAAGCACCATCAACACCTCTCTGTCCATTATTTATTTTCCGAGGTCTACCTCTAGGGTTAACTTGCATCCAATTACCATGAATAGAAGAAACATCATCGCTACTTTGAGCAGCCTTTACTATAGGCTCATCCATATTCATCATATTACTCTCATTTTCACCACCATCAACCTTTTCCGCCATAGGATCAACGCTCCAAGTACAGCTCTCCCTCTTATGCCCATAACGACCACATCCAAAACAAATTTCTGGCATACCCTCATACTCCAAATTGTACCATCTATCATTAATTTGAATAAACGCTTCAAGAGGCTTAGTCACATCAATCTCAACACAAATTCTAGCAAATTTTCCCCTGTATTGAGAATTAGTGTTTACATCAATCTTCAACAGTTTTCCCAGCACACTACCTATCTTCCTCATAGCCCAAACATTAAAATACTCAATTGGAACACCCATTATCCTGACCCATACAGCCATACGAGTCATAACCTCAGTTGCAGGTACAAATCCTGGTCTCCATTTTTGAATTGTCAAATACTGACCCGCAATTATCCAAGGTCCACCAGTTAAAACAAACTCCTTATCCTCTTCCAAATCAAATTTAACAATATAAAAATCATGATCAATGTCAATAAGCTGCATACCTCCTTTTAATTGCCATTTTTGCCTCAGCCTGTTCAACAAAAAATTATAAGTGTGCGATCGCCCAAGAAGTTTGATGACCAGAGCATCATGCCAATCCTTACCAAATTTCGTCACAGCTTTTTCAGAGAATGTAACGATAGGCCCTTTCACCTCACGAGAGAATGACACGTCCCCGTCAACGAGATCAGGATCAAAATCAAAATCAGATATAGCAACCGAGACAAGTCGCCGAGATGATTTCATAAGCTTGTCTTTGAAACTCACATTAGGCTCCAGGTGCAGAGCAGCCGTATCACGTTCAGCATCCAAATTCGGTCCATTAATTCCACGACTTCTCTTACCAGATCTGGATGAATCAACACCATTAGCTCCAAATTCAATCGGTGAAGAAACTGATTCTCCATCCATCCTCGAGGACTTCCCCTTCGCCTGCCCACCAGGCTCCACCTGCTCCGCCATAACGTGTGAGACTAATTCCTGCGTTGACAGGAGTTTATTGGACTGGAATAGGATGTTATCCTTGTTAAAATCAAATTTGGCAGCTGCTCAGAACATAATGACAGTACAAGCAAACAAACACAGGACTGAAAGAATTTTCCAGGTGGGGGATTTGGTATACTTACGGTTGGTTCCTTATCAACATCTATCCTTGGCTTCTCATCATTTCCATCAGTTGCAGCCTAGATTTTATGGTCCATTTGAAATTATGGCAAAAGTTGGTCATGTTGCTTACAAGTTACGCCTTCCTAACACATCCAAGTTGCACCCTGTGTTTCATGTTTCATGTTTCTTGTTTGAAGAAACATTTGGGGACCAAATATTCAACCTACGATACCCTTACTAGTAATTACAGATGATGGGATTTTACAGAATGTACCAATTGCAATATTGGATAGAAGGCTGGTTAAGAAGGGGAATGTAGCAAGCACTGAGGTTTTGGTCCAATGGCAAAATCACACGGCTGAAGAAGCTACATGGGAGGTTTATGCAGACTTGAAGAATCGATTTCCTTCAGTTACTCAAATGTGATTACTTGTATTGCAGACTTTATGGTTTACAGATCCAATGTACTGTCTTTTGTGTTGTTTTCAGTCTTGTTGTACAAGCCTCATTTCAAGGGGGTATTGATAAGATGCTGACTAGGATGATGTATCAGCATTATCAAATTGGTTAGTTGGTTATAGTAAGAGATACGGTTGTTAGTCAGTTTCTTAGTAGCTAAGTTGGCCTAGTTACTATATAAGAGATTGTAAGAAGGATGAAAAGGTTGTTGAATGAAAATTATACTGTAGTATTACACTGTATCAATACATCGAGCAAGACGTGAAGTCTGGGTTTTATCAGATAAGGACAAAACAACTACTATGGTATTGTCCAATGTTGGACCAAAAATGGTTTATTTGCTGGGTAGGGACAGTACTTGTCCTAACTTGGGCCAAAAATGGTTTATTTGCTAGGTAGGGACAGTACAATTACTATGTTATTGTCCGATCTTGGACAATACCCAGGAGGATCCTTTTCGGATCCTCTTTATGAGGATTATAAGAATTCTTAAATCGTGTCTGTTCATCTTAATATTTTGTGGTTAGTTTTCGTCAGATATTATTCATATTTAATTTAAAATAATTTATGATCGCATGATATATGATAACAGACATAATTTAAAGATCTCTAGGATCTTCAGAAAGATGATACAGAGAGGATTCTCATTTGGACAATACAACTAGGGGTGTGATGTCCACACACCCCATTTTACTTCTCACACCTTTTTAATTTTCGGCCGTCGGATCAAATAAATTGAAGAAGATCAACGGATAGAAATTATCAAGGGGTATGTGAGAAGTAAAATGAGATGTGTGGATAGCGAACCCCTACAACTACTATGTTATTGTCCGATCTTGACCAAAAATGTTCTATTTGCTAGGTAGGGACAGTACAACTACTATGTTATTGTCCGATCTTGGGTAAAAAATGCTTCATTTGCTGGGTAGGGACAATACAACTACTATTTTGTTGTCCGATCTTAGACAAAAAATGGGAATAAGAACCCCTCCAGATTCTATAAATCTGAGCCCATTAATCAATATGGACCATTGAAATTTGATCAAACACTACAATTATTATAACTTTTAGAGGGATCCCATTTTTGTAGTCGTTGAATCAAATTTCAAAGTCCGGATGCATTGATTAGTGGACTCAGTTTTATAAGATCCGGAGAGAATTTGGTTCCAAAAATTACTTTATTTGCTGGGAAAGGGACAATATAACTACTATTCTTGATTGAAAAATGCTTTATTTGCTGGGACAGTGATCTTTTGCTTGCAGCTCTACATGTGAGTTGTTGTCAGATCCCGTCAACTTTTTTTTACATGGATGTTTCAATAAGTTTTGCTTTGATGCTACAATATTCAGCAACCTCTAAAATATTAAAGTTAGAAAATGCAACGCGTTTAATGAGGTCCCTCAACTTTTATCTTTGTTTTTTGGACGATACTTTTACCCAATCAATATCTTCCCAGTGCGCCCACCTACTTTTCCTCTAACAACCAAAATCTGCACTTTCATACTCCAATAGTATTGAATTTTTTTTTGGGTTAAATTTATAAATAAAATTTTGTACATCAAATGACATGAAAATTGATGATTAAATTATTACTTAAGCGTTCATAAATTAGTACTAGATCGATCAAGCTGCAGGAGCAACTTGTCCTCAACTCCCTCATGCCCTGCTCATTATAGTTTAGAAGACGCGTTTTATGGGCTCTGTTACTTTTTAGGGGGCGTTTGTTTCACCTCCTTAGGAGGGACTGGACTGGACTGGACTACAGTCCCATGTTTGATAGGTGATGGGACTAAGTTAAGTGGGACTAAAGGGGACTCGTGTGGACTAGAGGCCTCCTTAAAGGTTCTTAGCAAGGCACTCCCCAAACCATGGGACTTGCTAAGATCGGCTTCTTCCTCCTCCCTGAGAGCCCTTCTGTGAGTTCTGGGCTTCTTCCTCCTCCCTGCGAGGGTTCTTCCACCACCAAAAAATGGCCAAATTTGTTCTATCACAAACTACAGCAAGCACATAACAAACGCAAAAATTCAATCTTTTCTCAGTTTTCCTACCAACCAAACAAAATTAAACCCAAAACCACATGAAATGAAAGAAATTAACCTCCAGAACTCCTCGACGGTAATGAAGGTGTAGATCGGGCCGATGGAGCTGCCCCAATCCTCCTGCTTGGACTTGGCGGACTTTGCGGCAGGGCTATTGAACCAGAAGGTCCAGGAGTGCTCTAGGGCGTGAGACTGCGGCGCAATTCCCTTCGAAGGCTTCGACGACGCCGAGTCTTGGTTGCCGACGATCTCTCCTTCTTCGGGCTCGTCGTCATCCTCCCTCGGCTTAGCGTTCGCCTCGGTCTTTAGAGGAATCACAACAGCAAAGAAAAGGAAAGGGAAAAAAAAAAGAACAAAAGGGGGTGATGAATGATGCTGTTTTGAGGGAGGAGAGAGTGGAAAGGAAAAGAAAAAGACGAAGAGAGGGAGAGGGTCGGAGCAAAATTAGGAAGAAATGGAGATGGGTGGTTTCAGAATGAAAAAGCAAATAGACAGTGGAAGTAATAAAATATTACTAAATATGTATTAAATAATATAAAATATTAATAAAATATAAATGAAAAAATATAATATTAGAATTTGTTGTTATCCTGTTGTTTAGTCCGACACTGCATCAAACGCTTCACTAAGACAGTCCAGCTTAGTCTAGTCTAACCCAGTCCAACTTAGTCCCTAAAGCTAGTCCAGTCCGAGATAGTCCGGTGCAACAAACGCACCCTTAGTGTTTTCCACCCACTTTCCTTCTTCAATTGCATTCTATAAACTAATAACTAGTTTTTTTTGTATGTGCTCAGATCTCCGTCAACTTTTCTCACTTGGGACGTTTCAACAAGTCTTGTTTTGAAGCTAAAATATTTAAGTTGGAAAATGCAACGCATTTTATGGGGTCTGCCACTTGGCGTATGCGTTTAGATCTCCGTCAAATTTTCTTACTTAGGATGTTTCAATGAGTTTTGTTTTATGGGTTCCGCCACTTGGCATATGCATCTAGATCTCTGTCAATTTTTCTCACTTGGGATGTTTCAATGAGTTTTGTTTTGGTGCTAAAATATTTAAGTTGGAAAATGCAAAGCGTTTTATGGGGTCTGCCACTTGGCATATGCGTCTAGATCTCTGTCAAATTTTCTCACTTGGGATGTTTCAGTGAGTTTTGTTTTGGTGCTAAAATATTTAAGTTGGAAAATGCAACACGTTTTAAGGGGTCCTCCACTTGGCGTATGCGTCTAGATCTCCGTCAATTTTTCTCACTTGGGATGTTTCAATGAGTTTTATAGGATCCGCCAGTTGGAGATTTTTAACTTTTATTTAATTTTTTTTTATGGACAAAATGTTTATCTAATCAAATATATTTCCCAGTGTTCCCACCTCTGTTTCCTCCAACAACCAAAATTTGCAATTTTTTTTTTAATCGAAGAAAAACTTTAAGTTGAACTTTAGTGACGCGTTAGGTACTCGCGTTGGATGTATCTCCGCAAGAATGATTTGGAGCTAAAAATAATTTAAAAAATTATAGAGGTGACTTGTGGATTTTGAGTAAAAACAAAAAAGATTACCCTCAAGGAACACATTGATTCTCACCCGCATGCAATGGACAATAACAGCTCAATCAAAGAAGAGTCAAAGGTAATCAATATGATATTTATTCAAATCACTCTCATCACTCCTCATCAATCCCTTATTGATTTTATTCAAAAGGTAACTCCCAAAACTTCCTATTTGATTTAGAACTAATTGCCATGTTAATTGCATGATATTATTTCACATAATATCTTACAATTATCACCCAATTACACCATATATGGCCGGCCACTTTCCACCAATAGGGCTGACCACCCTCCTATAAATACCCCTATTATCCCACTAATACATTCTTTTTAGAATTCTAACTTTGACACCAGAGATTCTTAGACCAAAGGCTCCCCCATTCATCATAGGCGCGTGAGGCTTTTGGCCTTAATCGAAGATGTTATTATTTTGCAAGTGCATTTTCATCAAAGGAGAAGATGGCGGAAATTGACATCCATAAATTGGTGCTTTCATTAAGAGTTTGATTCATACGCTCGAAGAAGACTCTCGCATTCAAAGTTTCTCATTTCTCGTTTGTTTGTAAATTTTTTCCGTACATTCTTATTCTTAGATTTTTTTAATTCTTTGAATAGACATAAGAGAAAAATACAATGGCGGAAAATTCGGAAACCACAACGAACGAAACTTCCTACGTTCAAGGATTTGTACCAAGTGATGGAGATCGAGACATAAACCCTACCACGACGATCCACGAGACTCAACACGATGGCAAAATGAGCAACTTTGCCACCATGGAGTACCATCACCATGGTGGCCACGAGGACCATCAAGCCACGGCTTAAGAGGCGTAAGCCTAAGAAACAGCCTAACTTGTTGCCACTACAGCAACCCAGGCCCAGGAGTAAACCCAGGCCCAAACACCAACAATTGCAGCCTGGCACGCCCAGACCCACGCCACGGAACAGCTCTAAGCCAAGGTCTGCCCTGCGCAACAGCAAGCCCAAGCCGCGCGTGAGATAAAAGGATGGCCAGCGCACATGTGTTTCATCAGCCTAGCCCATGCCAGCAGAGCTACCTGATCCCGCAACCTAACTCAATCACGCAGTCTAATTCGCGGTCTAATCCGCTTCCGCGGCCCACATAGAAACTCAAACTGGTCCAATACCGATTCAACCATCCCAGCTTTAAATTTATGGACCGACGATTGAACCGAGGGTATTTTCACCCATTTTGTTTCTGCAGATTTGACATATCCCAACTCAAATCTTGCGCCTGGAGTCCATTACACTTTCACTACTCAAAGAGACGCGTACCGTCTAAGCTCTTCTACCCTAAATGGTGAATAATACTTATCCCGACAAGTCATAGAGTTGACAAGCGCCCTTGTGCAGCAGACGACCTTGGTGAATCAGCTTTTGCAACCCACCAAGATGTCATGTGCCCAGACGAGGTGTTCCGAAGCAGGACAAGGGCAGATGACGAACTTCTCCAACAACGTCCCGACAAGCAACCTCTCAAACAGCTACGAACTGAGCATTCTGACCGTCTACACTACCGCATGGGCCCCCGAGATAGCGTATACTTTCATCTTAGTGTGCGAATGAGCGTGCACTCTCGATTAGGCCCACGGATGAACATACATTCACGGTTTGGGCCACACTCCGATAATCAACATGGACAACCTTCCAGGATAAATGTTTATTCGCGGCTATGCCTACTAAGAGCATCATCCATTTCACATCGAAGTAGCCAACGCGACGAACAGAGAGAAGTAGCCACTCAATCTGGCTCAAGTTCAACTAGCAACTAGCGAGTAACACGCTCGCCTATTAGAAACGTACCATATGCACTGCAGTCGTGGAATAGATGAGCCGAGCATAGGGAAAAGCAACCTAGATCAATAGATCACGACTAGGGGCAGCCGAAAGCTCCTCTATCCTAGCAAAGGTAAATTCAAAGAAGAAGTAGAGAAGTTCCTGACCGAACAATTATGCGACTTCTAGTGCAACGAAGCCACTAACGAGGCGCTACGACGAGACATGACCAACATAAGCAGGTCACATTTCACGGATGAGATCGAGCATGCAGAGCCTCCACGCAAGTTTAACATGCCACATTTCACATCTTTTAAACGAGATGGAGACCTGGAGAGGCACCTAAAGCACTACTGCAGCGCAATGATCCTTTATCGAAACAACGATGCCTTCATGTGCAAGATATTCACAACTACTTTGGAAGGCGAGGCTTAAGATTGGTTCCACACTTTAACGCCACAGTCCATCAAGAGTTTCGATGAGATTTCTTTGGTTTTCACCAAAGAATATTCATCCTATCCCTCGATCAAGAAAAAGTCCAACCACTTGCTCAATATCAAGAAGAACTCAATGGAGTTGCTCCACAACTATGTGAAGAGGTTCAAAGCAAATAAGGCAAAGATAGTCAGATGCAACGACTCGATAGCTAGTGCAGCCTTCCAAAAAGGAATCCCAACAGACCATCCGTTATTTGAAGAATTGATCATGGGAGAAGATCTGACTATGGCTGACTTATTCACTCTATCTGATAAGCATGCACTTTTGGACGAGGCTCGGGTAACAGATAAGGCACCTGAGTAGCCTACAAAAGATTTGGTGATTGCTCAAAAGAAGGAGGACGTGAAGCAGTACAACATAAAAAATAGGTAGGAAGCCAAGCGCAGGGCCTGATCCTCAACCACAGGAGGCTCGACACCCAAGAACTATACTAAATTCTCGATCCCGATCCACCAAATCCTCCACAACATCAAGAATAAACCACGGTTTAAGCTGCCGAAGTTATCGAAATGAGACACCTCCAAGTTGGATCATACCAAGTATTGCGCATTTTATCCAGGTCCTGGTCACACAACCGACGACTGCTACACTTGGAGGAATTACCTAGAAAAGATGGTGAAAGAAACAAGGTCGACAGATACTTGGACAAGCTAGTTGCGCAACCTAGAAGGAATGTAAGCTCTGACGAAGAGCTGCCAACCAAGACAATTATGATCAATGGCATTTTCACCAAATCCGAGCACTCGTGGGCCACCAACAACTCCAAGAAGAGGAAGATCTAATAGGCTCTATTAGTCTCACAGGTCCAGACAGTCAACACTCAAACTGGACCCATCATTGGCTTCACCGAACAAGATGCCAAAGGTGTCAACTTCTCACATGATGACACACTATTGATATTTGTCTAACTAGTCCATGCTATAGTTGACATAATGATGGTTGACAAGGGAAGTTCGGTCAACCTACTTCAGCTCTCAGTATTCAGAAGATGGGCCTAGAAAACACAATCATACGCCGAGCATAAGTACTTTCTGGATTCAACGGACACACCTTGACTGACATTGGCAACATTACACTTGACGTGATAACACAACCAGTTGTCTCAAAGCAAACGTTCACGATAGTAAGCGACTCATCTCTTTATAATGGGATTCTAGGGCGACCTTGGCTGATAAAGTTGGATGTCGTAACCTCTGTTAAGTATCAAAAGATCTGCTTCTGCATCCCTGGAGAATAAGTCAGAGAAATTAAGTCTGACTAGGCCACATCTCGATGATGCACTGTGTAAGTACTAGAAAGAAATTGTACGAATGTGATGGAGAGAGAAGAGAGCAAGGAATGTAGAAACAAATTTCTAAAAATTGTGTGTGAAACATTATGCCATAATAGGTATTTATAGACATTAAAGCACCCGTTCATCGAGTCTTTCATTTTAGTTGAAGATATACAACCCTTCTTAATAGTGCAAAAGACATGTCTTTTATTTACAATTATCAGAAAATAAATATTGACTAATTACATCTTTTAATTATACTCATACAATTTGAGTAAGCATCATGTCTTTGAACCAAGAATTGCAACCATTCAATAAAATATACAACCGTAAAAGGTTGAATGAAAGCCAACCTTTTTGCAAAGGTTGCCGCACCTTTATCTATCATACACACACATATTATATAAATAATATATAAATATATATAATATATTATATATTATTAAAATCTCTAACATATGTTTGAATAGTTAGGTGAAGTTTCAAATACATCATAGCTTAGGATTGAGACACTATTTATGAAACTGGCCTAAGAATGAAACACTATAAATAGAAGATGAACCAAGAACTAGGCAATATTTATGAATCTAGACTAATAAATAGTGTAGTACCATTCACTTTCATAAAAGTATATTACTATTCAGTTTCATAAATGGTGTAGTACCGGTTAATTTCATAAACATTATAGTACCGTTAAGTTTCATAAATAGTATAATATTGTTAAGTTTCATAAACAATGTTTGTGATGGACACACGGATCCTACGCGTAAGATTTTTTTTAATTCTTTTTATATTAAAATTGGGTCTTTTTCATTAAAATTTAAGTTCTTTTGTCCTCTTTATTAAAATTAGTCTTCATGCACGTGCGTGAGCGTGTGCAGAAGACATTTTTTGAATCACGGCGTGCTACTTATAACTTACATATTTTAAATGTATTTATATGCGTAAATTGACAAAAGGAAAGTCAACTATTTGAAGTAAATGAATAATCCTAGATCATGCTAGAAGAAACCCCTCATAAACCAATTAAAGCAGTTGAATCCACGCAATAAAATTGGTCTCTATTGAATTTCTATTAAGAATAGAGCAAATAATATTTAATAAACAACTGATGGAATCACATTATTGCTAGCCCATTGTGAGGCTAAGCCCACCATCTCTCCCTTAGTGTAGATAATATCGTTTGTTCAACAAAAACAAAAACAATCACTTGACAACTAATTTAATCACATTTAGCGTAGATAATATCATTTGTTCAAAAAAAAAAAAAAAAACAATCACTTGACAACTAATTTAATCACATTATTATTTGCGTGCTAAATATTTTTTTTTATAACCGGCATTACACGCCTCTTAAGATGTTTTGAACGTGTTTAAAAATAAAGAAAATAATATTAAATAAACAATTGATTGAATCACATTATTGCTAGCTTATTGTGAGGTATTAATTATTAAAAAAAAATTGTACAAAAAAAATACTGTTAAAATGACGAAAATACCCCTGCCACATTTGATGCATTATTTTGAGTTGCTTTTGAAGTTTTTTGTTTGAAGGGCATTTTGTCCAATTCTTTTTTGGTGAAGCTTGCGACACCAAAAAGCACTGTTCATTGGGCCCTTGGCTTTATATATAAAGATTTAAGGGTTATGTGATTTTGGATTTAGGAATGGGTTTTATGTTGAAATTTCCTTTTTGTGATTTTGGATTTAGAAATGGATTTTCATTTGAAATTTCTTTTTTCTTTTCTTCTTTTTTATTTTTATTGTTTGTCGATGAGATCCAAGGGCGGAGTCAGGATGAGAAGAAGATATTGAGAGGTTTGGTTTCATCTTCTACTTTCTCTACATAACCGTTAAGCCCCATTACCTTTCAATTTCATCTTCTACTCTCTCTCACTCTCTCACTCTCTCGCTCTCCTCTGTCTTGCAGGTAAAGATGGGACACCTATCTGGGCAATGTTGGGATGTCTAGGCTTGGGTGGAGACGTAGACTTATGAAACAGGTGAAGTAGCTTAGCTCTATCTCTTTAGCTCTTATCTGTTCTGTTTAAGCTCATTGGTGCTGGCTCTAAGGCTTTTCAAAACTTTTTGTTTTCGAAATCTGAAGCTTAGAATCCCATTCAACCACAAGGAACAAGAATAATTGAAAAAAAAATGTTTTGGCTTCCAAAAAGAAGCATGTGCAATCCTCTAATTTTATTAATATAAAAGAAGTGATGCAATCTAGTAAAGATGTAAATAAGAGCTATTAGTGGAAAAAATAGTTGTATAATTCCAGGCCTTGAAGAAGGCTACAAAAGATGAGAATAACATATCTTCATAGTGTTCATGTTTGTTCATTTCTCCCTTACGATTTTTTTATGCCTGTTAACACTTGAACAATGATGCAGGTCAATTAAGCAGATAAGATTCAAAAAGAAAACTCCACATCTGTTGCCAGCAATGCTCATGGGGAGAAGTATAGGAAACCGAAGCCTACAAATTCGAAGCCTTTTAGGTTTAGAACTGATGTATGTGAAACCTGTTGTGACCAATTTCTTTAATAAGTATTAATAGCATTGATGCTTTATATGATATCTTTTGGTTTTTTTTTAGGAAAGACGGATGTTTAAGGTGATTGGAGAAAAAAGCTCATGCACCACTTAAGGAGATCACCTTAGTCAGGACTCCAGGAGCAAAGTCAACAAGCAAACATCAAAATGTGATACAAGTATACTTGGGAGCTACAAATGTTGTGTGTGTGGTTTGAATTTGAACAATTACATTGTGTATCACCGTCATATAGGCAAATTTGTTATGTGTGATGGTGTATTTACGCATGACTGAAATGGATAATCTAATTTTATGCAATCTATAATATTGGGTTTCTCTAATTTTCTGCTTTTTTGTGATTTATTTGATGAAAGTTTCAATCTTCAGGTACATTTTTCATATATGCACTCATCAGATGTCATGATTACTGTTCCTCTTGTTTTTGGGCTACAAATTAAATTTTGGGTTTCGGTTGATTGTTGTGCTAATTGAGCTAATCTTTTGTTCTGTAGCAACAAGGAGAAATGAGTCGGTCGGAGGACTCTGAAAGATGATTGTTGTTGTTGTTGCTATAGATATGCTGGCGGATCATATGGAGGGAGAGTTAAGCTTGGATTGAGAAGTGGGATAATCCTCTGCAATGCTATCAATAAAGTTCAAACTGGAGCTGTGCCCAAGGTGACCCTGATCCTTCGATCCTTTTCCAAATTCTCACATTTGTGGTTATTATTGAATGGTATGCATATGGAAGAAATATGGGAACCATTGAAATGTTGAATACTTTGATTTTGTGTGTTTTTTGAAGGAATGGGAGAACCTTTGAATAAGTCTGGTTCCTTAGTTGAAGCAATTCATGTTATGACTGGATCACTATTTCACCTCTACGTAAACTGCCATTTCTTATAATAACTGTTCTGTCAAATTATAGGTACATAACTATGTTCCAACCATCTACGGTATCTCAATGTGGTAGTCAAGCTATTATATCAATGCCATGGAAATCCTTGACAGTCAAAGAGTATACAATCAAGGAAATGCTAATAAGCTGTATATTTTGATTCTATAATCAAAATTTTGTAGTTTTTAGATTTTGTGGATCTTAGTAAATTAGGGAGTACGAAGTACATTTGCTTCTTTCATTGAATGTGGGTGATTCATAGTTGCATAAGTAATGATGTAGTTCGCAATTGCTAAAAACATTTGGCTTGCTACTCTGTCAGTTGTGCATCTAATCTTCTGTAGGTCGGCATTATTCATGCTATCAAAAAGCTCCATAGTGATCTTCTAGCTATGGATTAGCGGTTTCACTATATGCATCTGTCCACGAAATCTGTTGTCAGATAATGCCTGCAGCTCGGGCTTTTCCTTTAGTAAAGCTTACGGATACATTGCAAGACTACTAAGAGAACACATAAAGTTTTATTAGACCTCATGTGTTTTTTTAGCTTTCATTTGTTTGCATTGAAACTTTTACTATCGTTTTACACTCCTAGAGAATCTCACTATAGCCCTTTTATCTGATTCTGCAGTCAACAAAAAATCTTCATTGAATACATAATGTTTGATGGAGTGACTCATGAAAAGCAGCGTGCACACCTACACGGGAAAAACTCGGGAACTTGCTAGAGACATTTCAAGTGGTGAGTTCTAATCTTTATGTACTTGCAGAATAGGAGGAACTTCAATCCCTTTTTCTGTGTTTCGTATAATATATATACAAAATAACCTTTGCATTGTTTCCAAAAAAAAAAAAAAAAAAAAAAAAAAAAAAAAAACCTTTGCATTCGTTGTCTCCTTTCCTACAATTCGTGAATTAATACCTTTTCATCCAATTGGTATTCTGAGTAAATTCACAATCAGTAAAGAAAGCAAAACAATGAGCTTTTTTTGTTTCTTAAATTTTTTTTCTTTTTCAGATCATGTAATGCTTTTCTCATGCTGAGATTGTAGGCCAATCAATAAGCAACTGAAAAACAGAAGTTCTTCATCACATGTTAGTTTTGATCCATTTCTTAAAATCCTATGCGTGGTACAAGAAAAACATTTCTTTAGCAGCAAAGAAAAAAGAAGAGTGAAGTACTGAACAACAATGTGAAAAGTTGGGACATAGAAAACAAGATATTTTTTTGTGTATTATAACTGTGTGGATGTAAATAAGATAATTTTTATGTATGATTTGTTCTTTATAGAACATAGGATGTCAATAGATTTTGATATGGATGTAAATAAATTTTTACAAGTCCCACACATAACACATTTAACAAAGTTTTAAAACCCACGGCATCACGTGGGCTCTTTTACTTGTTTCTTTGTTGAAATCCCAAAATATACAAAGCAAGCTGTAACAAGGCCCAAAATTGTTAGATAAATGCCCAAATTTTACCTCATAGCTAGGTATATGTACTTTCAAAATAGTTTACACATACTGTAACTCAATTGCTTAAAGTCGTTCACTCTTGCACCTGATATTCAGAGTTCAATTTCTACATCCTTTAATATCACTCGTTCAACACTATTTATGCATATGCCGCAGTAGGATCAAAAAACATAAATACAAAAAAAATTAACAATCAATAGGATTGCATGAACTGTTTAATATGTTGGAAATTTTGAGTAAATATTTTATTGTCCTACATTGGTTATCATAAAAAAGTTCTCTCACTTTTTGTCATTTATAGAAAATGATTGGGGTGTGCTAATTAATTATCAAAAGATGGGGTTTATTAAATTAATTTCGAATTAAATTAATATTTTTATTTTTCAACATACTCATATATTTGGATGAAGTCTGAGAGCGTATAAAACAGTCTAGGAGAAAGATGGCGCAACACACTATTTGTGTTGAACAGCCGCCTCCCAAAAACAAGTATGTTGCGAATAGGCATGACCACTATAAATACATGCATCTGCATATCATTTAACACATTGAAAATCATCAATCCATACATACAAAACATACAGAGAGTACCACAAAGATATTTGCCAGAAGTCTAGTTTTATAGTGCTGGAATCTCGACTTAGATCGTTGAATCCTAGTGAAGCAAACGTTCATCGAACTACAAGCACAGAGTCGAAACGAAATTCTGTTTCAAGGACATTATGGTACGCAAGTCTTAATCTTCAAGCCTAACACATAGACAATACAAATCGGAGACGTGGAGCACATGTGGTCGTTAGGCTTCACACTAGGAACAACCTGCTCTGATACCACGAAGAAAGTTGATGTTCCACCATAAAACTAATTGGCAATATGGAGAATAGCCCAATTTGCTTATAAGCACATATAAGGTCTCTCCTCCCATCAATGTGAAATTCATTCTCAACAGACAACAGGGTGCCAGTAAAGGGAAGAAAATGGTGATGACACCGCTGGTTGGGAAGAAATCAAACGAAGGGTTGAAGAAGAAGAATAGGCCATCTGAGGAGGTTAATACGATCTTTGCAAAGATGTGACTGGAAGTCTGGAATGGAGAAGAAGGTGGATGGAGATGAAGGGAGCTTTTAAATTTATTTTTATTATTATCCACACTTTTTTTTAATATAAAAATGAGATTTTTTATAAAAGAAAAATTATTACTATCCATGTGGAACAAATATGTGGGGCCCGTAATGTTCACGTAGGCAAATACCGGAGAAATTAATAGAAATTGAGACAGAGGTATGACATTGCAACGAATTCGTATATTGATGTATGACATTACAATATTCAAAGAGAATTGTTATTAGCAATCCAAAAATCTCATATGCACTTCAAACTTCATATAATTAGAACGGAAAATATACTTATGAGAAGTGTAAAATGAGATTTTTCGAGCGCTAACAATTCCATATTCAAAAGATGAAGCATGAGATTGTGAGGTGATTTACCATAAGATTTTGAAAAAGAAGAATGTACCAAATGAGTGGAAAAGAAGCATTTTTGTGACAATATACAAATTAAGTGCGACACACAAATTTGCATGAACTATAGAGGTATTAAGTTAATGAGTCATACAATGAAGCTTTGGGAGAGAGTAATTGAGTATAGACTGAAGCAAGAGACATGGGTCCCAAACAATCAATTCAGGTTCATACCAGGGCGTTCAACCATGGAGGCAATCTATCTCTTATGAAGATCACTAGAACGATATAGAGAAATGAAAAGAAATTGAACATGGACTTTATAGATTTAGCAAAAGCATATAATATGGTCCCATAAGATTTTTTTGGAGGATTCTAGAGAAGAAAAGAAGAAGAGTAGCATATATCTAAGCCATAAAAGATATATACGAAGGAGCAATGATTGTAGTAAGAATTCATGAAGGACAAACCGAAAACTTTTCCATATAATCGTAGGGTTATACCAAAGCTCAACTTTAAGTCCTTATCTTTTTGCATAGCCAGATAACTGAAAACCGGGGAGATCTTTACTAATGGCTTTGTCCTTGGAGTTAGAGGTTACATTGCTCTAATGACAGTAGTCTTCTTCCGGCTTATGAGGGATACTGATCTTCTCGATAGGAATACAGTTCTTTATTTATTTTCCATTAGTATATAAGCTGTTAACTCCGCCTATGTCTTACATGGCCGGTCCCAAGCCCGGATAAAGGAGGAGGGGGAGGGCGTCAGGTAGTCGACAGCCGGCACTCCATGATCACGTCGAATCCTTATGAAAATGAATCCAGAACAAAATCGCGCTAAAGCTAGGGCGTCACCCGTAAGTGGCGCGCTGTGTGGCCCGAGCACAGTGATAAGTGAGCAAGGGTCGCTGTATCTCCATCGGCACCCGGATGCAGTGTTAAATGAGCAAGGGGGCCATAGAAACTTCTTTTCGAACGACTCCACTCAAAGTTGTTTGGGAGCATATGCTCCTATCAACTTTACCCGGGACACACAAAAGAAGTACTTTGATCCTATTAGACGGGGGAGGGTGAAGAAGCTAGGACAGAAGGGTAGAGTTCAAGAGAGCAAAATGCGTTTAGGAACATGGAATATAGGAACCTTAACGGGAAAATCTATGGAAGTAGTAGAAGTTATGGTGAGGAGAAGGATAAATATTATGTGCCTACAAGAAACTAAGTGGGTTGGTAGTAAGGCAAAGGATCTAGAAAACTCAGGGTTTAAACTTTGGTATTCGGGCACAAATAGAACGAGAAACGGTGTTGGCATCATCGTGGACAAGACCTTGGTACAAGATGTTGTAGATGTCAAGAGGGTAGGAGATAGAATCATGGCAATCAAGATTGTAATAGGACAAGAACTTATCAATGTGATTAGTGCGTACGCACCTCAAGTAGGGTTGGATACGAGTTCGAAGGAGAAATTTTGGGAAGATCTTGGAGACTTGGTGCAAGGAATTGCTCAGACGGAGAAGTTATTTATAGGAGGAGATTTAAATGGACACGTGGGCAGGGAGACAGGCAACTATGGAGGTTTTCATGGTGGCCATGGTTTTGGGGAGAGAAACGAGGATGGGGAAGCTATCTTGGATTTTGCAATGGCATATGATCTCTTCTTAGCCAACACCTTCTTTAAGAAGAGAGAAGAACATGTGATCACCTACAAAAGTGGGTCGTCAAAAACACAAATAGATTTTCTTCTAATGAGGAAAGGGGATCGTATAACTTGTAAGGATTGCAAAGTTATACCAGGAGAGAGCGTGGCTAATCAACATCGCTTGTTGGTGATGGATGTACATATCAAAAGAGTAAGACAAAAGAACAAGACTTGGAAGTGCCCAAGGACTAGATGGTGGAATCTAAAAGAAGAAAAACAAGTCATTTTCAAAGAGAAGGTAATCACCCAATGTGTGTGGGATAGAGAGGGGGAAGCTAGCCAAATGTGGGATTCCATGGCTAGTTGTATCCGAAAAGTAGCAAAAGAGGTATTAGGAGAGTCCAAGGGCTTTGCCCCACACCAAAAGGAATCTTGGTGGTGGAATGAGGAGGTACAAACAAAGGTGAAGGCTAAGAAGGAATGTTGTAAAGCCTTATACAAGGAGAGGACCGATGAAAATGGTGAAAGGTATAGAAAAGCGAAGCAAGAGGCGAAGAAAGCTGTCAGAGAAGCTAAGTTAGCGGCTTACGACGATATGTATAAACGACTAGATACCAAAGAAGGAGAGTTGGATATCTATAAACTATCTAGAGCAAGGGAAAAGAAGACAAGGGACCTAAACCAAGTGAGGTGCATCAAGGATGAGGATGGAAAGGTTCTTGCTACAGAGAACGCGGTTAAAGACAGATGGAGAGGTTATTTTCATAATCTTTTCAATGAAGGACATGAAATGAGTGCTTCTTTAGGGGAGTTGAGTAACTCAGAAGAGTGTAGAAACTACTCTTTTTATCGTCGAATCCGGAAGGAAGAAGTGATGGTAGCTTTGAAGAAGATGAAGCATAAAAAAGCAATAGGCCCAGACAATATACCAATCGAAGTGTGGAAACTTTTGGGAGAGACAGGTATAACATGGCTCACTGACCTTTTCAATAGGATTTTGAAAACGAAGAAGATGCCAAATGAGTGGCGAACGAGCACTTTGGTGCCTATCTACAAGAATAAGGGCGACGTACAAAATTGCATGAACTATAGGGGTATTAAGCTAATGAGTCATACAATGAAGCTCTGGGAGAGAGTCATTGAGCATAGATTGAGGCAAGAGACACGGGTTTCGGACAACCAATTCGGGTTCATGCCAGGGCGCTCAACCATGGAGGCAATCTATCTCTTACGAAGATTGATGGAAAGATATAGAGAGATGGGAAAAAGGATTTACACATGGTCTTTATAGATTTGGAAAAAGCGTATGATAGGGTCCCAAGAGACATTCTTTGGAGGATTTTAGAGAAGAAAGGAGTACGAGTAGCATATATCCAAGCTATAAAGGATATGTATGAAGGAGCAAAGACTGCCGTAAGAACTCATGAAGGACAAACCGAAAGCTTTCCCATAACTGTAGGATTACATCAAGGCTCATCTTTAAGTCCTTACCTTTTTGCGTTGGTAATGGATGAGTTAACAGGACATATTCAAGATGATATTCCTTGGTGTATGCTTTTCGCAGACGATATAGTGTTGATAGATGAAACTCAGGAAGGGGTAAATGCAAAGCTTAACCTTTGGAGAGAAGTGTTGGAATCTAAAGGTCTTCGCCTAAGCCGATCAAAGACAGAATATATGGAGTGCAAGTTCAGTGCAAATGGAGGCCAAAACGAGTTAGGGGTGAGGATCGGAGATCAAGAAATACCAAAGAGCGACCGTTTTCGTTACCTAGGATCTATCTTGCAAAAGAACGGAGAATTAGATGGAGATCTCAACCACAGAA